GGATATGAGTTTTATATTATTTTTGTTAATTTTATAATGTTAAACTGTAATAATAACAAATAATTGTTGAGAAGTGATGTCCAGAACTGCTTATCAAAGTTTGCATTGTTGTCAGGCCCTCCCCTGCCCCGGCCCCGCCCCGCCTCCCGGCCTTGTTGTAGCTCTGTACCAATGTCAAAATCTGGTCACCCTACGTATATTCCCTTCCCATTCTCCCGCTTTTCCCTAGCTTGTCATGCATTCTTTCCAAAAATCGGGACTTTTAAAAACCGCCACGGGACCCGGGAGAAATTGTTAAAAGTCGGGACTGTCCCGCCAAAAGCGGGACGTCTGGTCACCTTAAGCTACACGGTAACCAGGGTCAAATAAGGAGGAGCGCCTACACTGGAAGGCGCGGGTCACTTGCAAGCGCCAAAACGCTCGTTCGATCAAGGTCGAGGACTCCAGTGTACCTTGAAATTATCCCGCGGTTGCAGCTGCTTTTGCCTCTTCTTCTCCTTCTCTTTCTCCTTCTTCTTCTTCTTCTTCTCCTTCTCCTCCTCCTCCCACTCTACCTCCCACTCCAACTCCTCGCCAATGTCCTCCAGAGTCCACGAAACGTTAGCATTGGTCTTCCGCACCGCTCCCCTAGCCGCCGCCCCTTGTGACTTGAGAACGCTAGAGGGGGCCGCATCCAGGAGCTCAAACTCGCCTTCCGGGTTCTCGCCCTTAGACTTGATCATAGAGAAGCCAGAGGAGACTTCCGCTTCCGGCTGCTCTAGGTTCCTCGCCGGTGCTGGGGAGCTCCGTGCGCTCTCGGTCCGTCCCGAGTCCGCCTCCCTCCGGGGTCTCTCCGGCTCTGCCCTCTACCCGGGAACGTCTTCCTCCTCTCCCCGCCCCCCGGCAGACGCAGTGCTGAGCCCACAGCTGCGGGACAAAGAGTGACGCGGGAGCCGGAGTTATGGCGTCCACGGAGCCCCGCTTGGTAGCTACCGGGAGCCCCGCGGCGATGCCGCCGGAGAATCTGGAAGGAGCTGGCCCTAGCTCAGACCCTCACCGTAACTCTGAGGGCTCCTTGATTCCAGGGGCCGCACCTCCTGCCCCCGAGCCCTCTAGCCCCAGTGCGGCGGTCCCCGAAGCGACTGCTACACCCGCGGCGGCTGCTCCTGCGGTCCTTGAGCTGCCTCTAGCCTCTGCACCTCAGGCCGAAGCCGCAGCGCGCTCACCCTCCGGCCAAGGCGGCTCCCGACCGGGCCCTGAGACGTTCCGCCAGCGTTTTCGGCAGTTCCGCTATCAGGACGCTGCGGGTCCCCGGGAGGCGTTCCGGCAACTGCGGGAGCTTTCTCGCCAGTGGCTTCGACCCGACATCCGCACCAAGGAGCAGATTGTGGAGATGTTGGTGCAGGAACAGCTACTTGCCATTCTGCCCGATGCGGCAAGGGCCCGTCGGCTACGCCGCCGCTCAGATGTGCGCATCACTGGCTGAGAAGCGGTCCTGTGGGTGGCCCGGCCGGGGCGCTCTCATGTGGACTGGGACCAGGGTCTGGGGACCTGAGCCTGGCACCGCATCCTGTGTTAATGAAAAACGAGTTGTGGCGGCTCCTGTGGTCTGGTGTCTCTTTTGTTCGTCGTTCGTTTGGTTTATTTTATTGATCCTACTTCCCGCCTTTCTGGCTGGAGGCGAAACGAAATTGGGAGCCCATAGAATTAAGGTCTTTGTTTCCTATTCCCCGGGCCGCCTTTGGCTGTCATGGAATTTAGATGTTAACTACACCTGAGTCATTCCTCCACCGCGTCTGGGAAATTTTTGCTCCTCAGGACCCACTTGCGTTTCCTGCGAGCCAAATAGCTGGCTCTGGTAAATGCTCATTCGACCAATACGGCCGCCACCTTGGTCTGCTTAACCCTTTGAGGTAGGTTTCCCAAAGGCCCAAGTTAGTGGGCTGTGTTAATGTGAAGTGTTGTGTATGCCCTTACAGAGAGACTAACTAGTTGTTGGGATCTCTGGCTTATGCCACCAGAATTGCTCACCTCCTTGCTAAATATTAGTTCTCTGCTAGGATTTAGGAAGCAGAACTTAACTGTCTCAACTTCCCCAATGGAAAAAAAGCAGAACTGGTGTGAATTAATGGATTGTTTACATTACTGAAGCTACTCTTTTTAATGTCTCTCGCTGGCTCCTTTTTATTTTTTCAAACAAACATAATTGTTTAGAAAGGAAAGAAAGACTTTTCCAAGTAATGGAGATGATCTGCTATGAAATCTTAAAGCGTTTATTCACCCAGGAAGGAGTTAGTGGGGGTCCACGAGCAGCCTGGATTGATCCCAGATATGTCTACTGCACTGAGGCCTGACCTGTCTTCCTTACACTGCTTTCAGCAATCAAAATCTAAGCCTGCAGCTCACACTACAAAGCATTAGCCAGATGGGGTGGGAAGCTGGCGTGGGGCATCTTTTTTTGAACATTAAAGATAAATGAATTCAAAAGTATTTTTGCATACTTTCTTGGGATTTCTTGAGAGCTTGTACCTACCTCCCTAAAACAGGGGTTCTCAACCTGTGGGTCACAACCCCTTTGTAACAATGAAAATACATCGCAGCATTAGGAAGGTTGAGAACCACTGCTTTAAAAGGTAGTGTTTACAGAAAATTAATACATATTAAAAATAAGCTGGTGAAGAGCTTTATACAGTCATACTTTGCTTAAGGATAGGGATATGTAATGAGCAAAGCACCATTTGGCACTTTTCCCCTTGTGTGTATTTAAACCTTGATGGAATAGGCTATTGCTCCTAGACTCCAAACCTGTATAGCATGTACATTCAGTTACTGAATACTGCAGGCAATTGAAATAGTGGTATTTGTGTATCTAGATAAAAAAGAAAACAAATGGTATACCTGTGTAGGGTATCACTGGAGCTTGCAGGACTAACAGAAGTTTCTCTGAGTCCTTAAACGGTGAGTGAATATGAAGGCCTAGAACTTATATATACTCACTACACTCCAGACTTTTAAAACACTGTACATTTAGTATGTATTTAGAAAGTTTTTCTTGGGTGGCACTTATGGCTAAAGGAGTAGGGTGCCGGCCCCTACTATACCGGGGGTGGCGGATTCAAGCCCAGCCCCTGCTAAAAAAAAAGCAAAAAGTTTTCTTTAGGCAGAACCCATAGTTCAGTGGGTAGGGTGCCGGCCACATGTACCAGGGCTGGTGGGTTGGAACCCAGCCCTGGCCTGCTAAAAACAAAACATAGCCAGGCATTGTGGCAGGCACCTATAGTCCCAGCTGTTCCAGAGCTGAGACAAGATAATCCTTTGAGCCCAAGAGTTTGAGGTTGCTGTGAGCTGGGATGCCACCTGAGGGCAACAAAGTTGAGACTGTGTATCAAAAAAAAAAAGTTGGGTGGCACCTATGGCTCAAAAGGTGGCGGGTTTAAACTCGGCCCCCGCCAAAACCTGCAAAAAAAAAAAAAGTTTTTCTTAAGACACATACACATTGAACAGCTATACAAGTATTTTTTCTTTGTATCCTTATTTTTTTTTTGTAGAGACAAAGTCTCATTTTATCGCCCTGAGTAGAGTGCCTGGCATCACACAGCTCACAGCAACCTCCAGCTCTGGGCTTAGGCCATTCTCTTGCCTCAGTCTCCCTAGTAGCTGGGACTACAGGTGCCTGGCTATTTTTTTGTTGCAGTTTGGCTGGGGCCAGGCTTGAACCAGCCATCCTTGGTATTTGGGGCTGGAACCCCACCCACTGAGCCACAGGCACCGCCCTGTATCCTTATTCTATAGGCGGGTTTTCTTTGGGAGACAGAGTCTCCCTTTGTTGCCTAGGGCATCATAGCTAACAGCAAACACAAACTCTTGGGCTCAAGCAATCCTCTTGCCTCAGCCTCAGCCTCCTGAGTAGGTGAGACTACAGGCGCAATGCCTGGCCATTTTTAGAGATGGAGTTGCCTTCTTGCTCAGGCTGGTTTCCAACTCCTGAGCTCAAGAAATCCACCCATCTAGGCCTCCCAGAGTGCTAATGATTACAGGCATGAGCTATTGCACCCAGCCTTTGTAAGCTTTTTTCTACTCGAGAAATGTTTTTGTTTTTAATTCTTAAACTTTCTGTTAAAAAGTAAGACAAAACCCCACACATTAGCCCAAGCCTACACATTAAGACCATCAAGACATCACTAGGCCATAGAAACTTCAGTTCCATTATAACTTTAAGTCACCACTGTGCACATGAGGTCTGGCCTTGATTAAAATGATACACAGTGCATGGTTGTTATTCAATAATAGGTGACCAAAACATAGCAACAAGAACTTGCTTTATTTTTTCCAAATACAGATACAGAAGTTTGCATGTTTTGCAAATATTGCTTCAAAGCAACATTCTATATACAGCGCCTTCTGTTCTAATAGCGCGTAAACATAGATATGTATCCACAGTGCAATGTTGGCTCATCAAGGATCCACCTTGCATACACATCACTTAAACAAAATGATTAGTCAAACCAGAACTGTTTTTGTCAAGGCAATTTTTTATAGGTGGATAGTTTTCCTCAAAAGACAAACTTAGGTAGTGCACATATTTCTAAATGGTAATAGCAATGTTTGCAAATAACAGTTTCCAGTGCTCCAACTTGGGGTTAATTCATCTTGACCCAGGAATTGGGAATGGAGCCCCTCAACATGGCTTTAAATTAGGGAAGCATACTGAGGTTATAAGAACTTGGGAACTTGTCTCTGCTTCCCTAAGAACAAAAGTCACAACGAGTGAAATGGGATTCTTTCCTTTATAAAACGGAAACAAACCCAATGATGGCCACTTGGCAAAATTAGGATAATTCATTTTCTGTTTCCATTTTTGAACAAGACATGAAATTGACTACCTTAATAGTTACAGCTTCCACAGATACTCAAAATTTACTTTCATAAAAGAAATAATCATACCTCACAGTTGTGGCTATAGAAAATCATCCTGTTTCTTCCCTTTTCAGACAAGCAATCACACAAATGCAGCTGTCTGAACACAGATACCATGCACACTCCTTGAGCATTTCTTCCTATACCAGAAACATCAGTGTTGGCAGTGGGAAACAGTCTCTTGTAGAGGAATTGTGTCAGCTTTATTACAGATGTGATAGCCACATGTACTCCCTCTGATGGATAAGCTACAACAGGTCAACTTACACATGTTCTATAATTCATTTTACATCAAATGGTGAACAAACAACTAGACAGAGCATTCCTTGAAACAGATCTGAGTACAGAGGCGTGAATTCATGACCACAATGACCTGTGCCTAACCATTCCAAAGGTTGCTGGAGATACTGTCATTGCTATTGAGATATTGGCTACTTCATGTTTACATAGTAAATATTTGCAGCATATAACATTACAGATTCATAAACCCATAATTAACTTGTAAGTGTTAATGGACAACTGTGCTTTGATTTTTGACTTTAGTGATAAGAAAACTAAGTAGTGAAATGGGTCACTTTTCAAAGCATGAAACATTTTCTTTAACTTTGCCTAGTAAGGAAAAACAAAATACAGCAATTACATGTGGAACCGTAACCTGCAAAAGTAACACAAATATTGTCTCAAGAGGTACAAATAGGTTGTACCTGGACCTTAAGCAGCATAATCACTTTGATCTCACAAAATAATACAAACAAGAAATTTAAAGTGTTAAAGTATATTAACAAAACAACTCTGAACATACGCTTCAGGGAAGGAGAAAAGCAGTACATGTAGAATCTGAAGTTTGTTTACAACATTATAAAAGAAGGTAATTCCCCAAACCACATTCTTCGTAACAAATCTTTACAGTGAAGGAGTTTGAAATTCTGGGAAACACTTTTTGGACATTAAATAGAACTGAGAAGCTGTGAATATTAAGAAGTGGGTAGAAAATGCTGTCCTTTGGGTTCCAGACCCTGCCTGTTTCAGGTTGAAATTCTTATTACAGTGAGATTCTAGTTCCTCCACAGGTTGTATGGGCTCTGCTACAAAAGCCACTACCCAACCAACTCTGGGGTGAAAGCATATAAATCTTGTCCCTGGTACCAGGAAGTCATGCAAGAGATGTGGTCAGAAAAGTGAAGAGTCCTAAAGACAAGGAAGGGCAGCCAAGGCTCTGCGCCTTCCCAACCTCCACAGCACGGTGAAGTCACAGCATTCCCATGAAGCTAGAAAATGAAAATGATGCTTGCTGCCTAAACTCCATGCCAGGCAGAAACCAGAGGGTTGGCATGTGCCCCAACCTGACAGAAAAGTCAATTAAATAAACTGCAAATTGAATTTACAACTGTTTTCCAACTAAACTTTTTTGGCTCTCATTCCATTTATCATCAGTGGCACGATTTCAAGTGAAGTTTGTGCAAAAAGACTCTCTTCATTCAACGATGTACACAGAAGAAGGGAATCCTAAGAATGTATTTGCTACCTTCTTGGTAGGCGTTGAGATCAGAGTGCCCTGCCCTCCAATGGCCAAAATGGCCTCTTTGTCCAATGTCTATCACACTCCTGCCCAGATCCCTGAAGTCAGTCGGTGTCACGTGCATTCGGCATGCTAGTTTTATTTATTTAAATATGTGAAGCTCC